GGGGGGGGGGGGGGGAGGGGGGGGGGGGGTATAGTGCATGTGCATCCTCACCAATTAAAAGAGGCCTCAGTCATTGATGCCAAAGCCACTCCACCAACAATTGGGACAAGGGAAGAAACTACCCAGAGGGTAGGAAACTGTTCAAGCAGAGCAGTTAGGTGGAAAAACAGAGCAACTCAGATGAGAACAATATCAAAGCTTCAAATCAACAATTCATCCTCTATGCGTTGTGCCATGGGCAGCAACAATGATCAAGCCAGTAAAGCCCATCATTTTCACATAATATTTTGAAAAATAACTTTTTCCATCCAAGTGTTATTCAAATTGGCAACAGAAATTCAAACTCCAGTATAAGCAATGATGAAGTGAACCCCAAATGTGAGAAAAATACAGAAAAGCGTATGTAATGCGCACCTCTCCAAGAAACATAGCAGAGAGGACAACGGAGAAGAAGGGCTCCATAGCTTTAATCGTGTGAGTGAACGAAACAGAAACTTTTCCAAGACTCATGTTAGTGAAAAGGTTGCCTAACGTGTGCACCACTGCCAATGGAAGGATAGCTGCAAGCTGCCAGATGGATATTCATAAGCAGAGCCAGTACCAAAAATAGATAAACTGAACACAAAATACGACAGTTTCAGCACCTATTGAAGTACCTGTGAACCACTGATCTTAGGCCGTTTGTAGAGATTAAACATCCACATCAACGTAACAAGGACAGTCCCAACAGCAAATTGAACCAAAGTGACAGTTACTGGATATTGAAAGACTTTCAGAACCTGTAAGCAATGAACATCATCAATTATGTTATCCTTCTTATAACAGGAACTTCAACACTAAAATTTTTAATTTACAGAAGTCGATTCTAAAGTCATGTAATGACAGAATTATGATTGATATAATGACTAAAAGTCACAATTTACTCTGTTTTCAGCACATTGAACACTTCTTTCTACATTTCCTCAAGTACTGATGTTAATTCAAACAATTTTTAATATTGTAACATTTCGTGCTTTTGATCTGTTTTCAAAATTAACTTCTTCACATTAGGTCAGAGATTCGTATACTTGAAAACCAGCGCTAATTAAGCGAAAAATCTATTTATAACCCATCAATTGTTACCACAACAACAATTACCTCAGCATAGGATAAGTCATAACTTACTCATACAGCCATTGCACGATAAAATTTGTTCATTACCGTATTCTAAATTTATATAGCTTGATTTCATATATTTTACAGAACAAACAAAGAAAAAGAAAAACCAAATTTGAAGTATATGACAGTTTAGAAAGTCTCAGACTAAAATATCTTAAAAAACCTATAGTAATTATGTTACAAATATGTATATGTGATTCCACTTAATAATGCCATGAAGCACATTGTTCCACAAATCTACAAGATACAGACATGCAAGCACACCAAACATATAAGTGCATAGATACAAGTGCATGTGCGAGTATAAACAGATCAAGCAATAAAAGCAAATCAAGAAGCCTTGAAGAAGAAAAACGCGTACCTGCTTGTTGTAGATATTGAAGTAGATGTTGAAAAGGTACCAAAATCCAAACAACGACCCGAGCACCAATGTATCAGGCAATGCTTTCGACTTGGGAACCTCTCCAGCGCTCTCAGGCACCGACGTTGCCCTGACCTCAACACCTTCCGATTCGCGTTCCGGCACAAGCGAAGGAGCCGAAATCCATCCATCATTCGGTCTCGACGAAGACGAACAACTGATTGAAGGCAGTCGACGAGACAGCGCTACAGAGCCAAAACCAAGTGATCTCGAAGGCGACAATTGAGATATAGGGTTAAATCCATAGAAAGAGCTGGGGTGGTTTGAATTTGAAGGCTTTCTAGGCTTGGTAAGAGAAATCGACGGCGAAAATGAAATTGCAGAGCTCTGCATTTTCGAGATTCGGATCAGATATGTGTGAGTGCGTGTGTCTGTGTGTGTGAGAGAGAGAAAGAGAGAGCGTTGAAGGCTCCGTCGCTGAACGAGGTGGATTTCAGGAGTATAGAAAGGACTAAGGAGAGTTAGGTGAAAGAAAGAGTAGCGGAATCCGAAATGAAGGATATTCTCGTGATTGGGATCTCAAAAAGCGATAATTTGAATTCTCGGGGTATTATGAGATGGCTGGTAGGCCTTGTTGTTGGAAGGTGGAAAGAAATTAGGTGGGTTGTCTATAATTATAGGTCTCAAATTGATCGAATTTTGGTCAATTTAAATCCGAATTGAAATCCTTAGGCCTGTTTAGTAATTCTAATCCAGAAATGGATATTTCATTGCATGTAAAGTGGTATCTGACTTTAAAAAATTATAATAATCTTTTATTTAGTATTTGATATCTGATGATGTAGAAAATTGATTTGTACACCACCTGTCAATTGAGTAATATAAAATGCAATAAGTAGAGGGAGAGAGAAAACAAGGTTTATAATAATTCACCCAATGAGACCTATGTCTACTTTCAATGGCTAGGTTGGCCAGAAATTTTATTGACTCCGATACGTTGGGAGAGCAAAAATTACAAGAGAGAAGGAGATGAGCTTGATTTTGTTGAGATGCCCCCCAAGTATTGGAGGAGCTTACAATTTATAGAAGTCTGTGTAGTAATTGAATAGCTTGACGGTTATAACGGACCAGAGGCAACTTAATAGCTGATGACCTCTCCTCTTCCTCAATGGGTAAAGGTATAGCTCCTGAATGCTCCCGTAGCTCCCTAATGGGCTTGACCGTCTTGGACCTTATAGGGCTTGTTTAGTCTTCTATAAGCTTGGGTTTTTTCCCATGGATTGGGTCATTTTGGCTTGACCGATCATTTGCCCCCCAATGCCCCATGTCTAATGAAATTTGGAGAAGTGGTTATTCAACTGAATTTGAATTATAACCCAAGAATACTCCTTACCCGCTACATTCATGTTGCGCTATGACAGCGAGGATCGACCTGCCCGAACAGGTCGGGGGGTTCCACCTGCCCAGTTAGGTGGCGGGGGCTCGGGGGCAGCACCCTCGGACTTTAAAACGATTTTTTGAATTACATACCAAGGCTCCTCCTTCTTTTCTGATATATATTTTAGCTTTGTAGGACTCCTCCAGCTACATAAACTCTTCCTTTTATTCCCCCTTTTGAATTCTAGAAAAGCCTTTGGTTTTGAATTGGGCCTTTTTGCCTTTTCCTTGTTTTCAAAAAATCCTAGGTATAAATAGTAGCTCTCTCCACTTTACTCATTCTATTGAAACTTGAGAAAGTGAAAAAGGGTTTTTTATTTCCAAGACTCCTTCAAGATATTGTGTCAGGAATCCATGGCGAATGAAGGAAGTAATCATGGGGTTGTTGTTGTGATCCAAGGAGAGATGGAGGATGAGGTAGACGCCAGCGTGGAGATGCTTGGGACATCCGTTGTCACTGCTTGCGCATCCATGGTGTTATCCGATGTGGGGGCGGCTATGGCGGAGGAGCAAGTTGTTATGGTTCATGATGGGTGATTAGCCCTCTGCAATAGGCAACCAGCTGATGTGTTGGGCGAGCAAGGCAGGACGAAGGAGAGAACGAGGGAGCCCACTGCATCGGGCAAGCAGGCGCTGGGCGCCGCTACGAGTCGCGCAAGGGGCGTGCAACTCAAGTGGCAAGCGAGCAGGATAAAAAGTTGGGTGCTTTGGGTGCTGATTCAAATAAAAATCTGAGCGCCACTTTAGGCGCTGGACTGGACAGCTATCTAGGCACTACACTGATTGGTCTGGGTGAGCACAATGTCCGTGTGATAGGGCAAAGGTGTGGGCAGAGGAAGGTTCTGGCTTCTGGTGTGCTGGGCAGCCCATTAGGCAAAGGAAAAGAGAGGAAGGAGGAGCCCTTGGGCGTTGCTTCCACGCACAGGACAGCTGCGCGTGTCGCTCAGGAGTTGGGCGAGCATGGGGATTCTTTAGGCGAGCCTGAGGCTGCCTTAGGCGCCCCGACTTCTCAAGGCCTCCCTCGGAATGGCACCGGCCACACTTTGCGCTCTCACAAGAAAAAAACAACGAAGCAAAGTAGTTGATGATGGGTCCAAAGTAAATACCATATCTAGCACTTTAGATACGAATGCCGATATTTTGCGAATTATCTCCGCCTACCACATCCCTCTGACTGTGCTGTGCCGTCGAGTCGAGATGAATGAGCCTACCTTTGATGATTCCTCTGGTGACATTGTCATCTATGAGAAAATTCTAGAGGCTGGGCTTAGGTTCCCTATATCTCCTTCCATTTGCAGTATTCTTCATTATTTTTCCCTCACCCCGGGGCGATTGTCACCCAATGGTTGGAGAATCCTGTTGGATTTTCTTGTATTGTGGAGGAAAGTGCACCATGAGGATGTCTCTCCTGAGGAGTTTCATGGAGCTTATACTTTGAGCGAGACCCCCGCTCCCAATTGAGGTTGGTATTACTTCACCACGAGAGACAAGTTGATTACCAGTCTGCGGTCCAATTGCCATAGTTGAAAATCTCACTTTATATTTGTCGACGGAGAGTGGGCTGCAGAGGCCAATCAGGCTTTGGTACCGAGAGGATGGGATGTCCCTAAGAAACTTGGTATGTCACATATTTGTTTTCTCTCTTCTGCTCTTTTTTTTTTTTTAACTCATCATTCCTCTTACAGATCCTCCTATGCTCTCCAAAGACCAAGAGTGGAAATTACAAGCCGTGAGGGCTCATCCTAACAAGGACTTGGGAGTCCTTTTGCCCAAGGATGCTAGGAACATTACTCCCTCCCTGAAGTCTGGTGACTCCTCTTCGAAGAGGAATGGTGAGTTGATTCTTTTGTACCTTCTTTTTTTACTTGGTGTTTTTCATGTGAGTAATACTTTATTTTTTTTGGAGCAGTAGGTAGGGAGATGATTGGGTCTCACCTTTCGAGTAGGAATCCTCCTCTTTCTAAGGTGGTGAGGACAGAGGATGCCTCCCAGGCGACCTTTCCAACAATGCTGCCCGAGATGAGCTCTCCTTAGTCAACCCCTCTGGCACCTCGAGCGTCCTCCCATCAAGTGACCAATCTAGGGGTGCCTCCTCGGTTAGATGCTCCCATAGCTGCACCTCCTGCCCCAGAATCTCGTCTAGAGTCTCGTTTATTGGCCACACCTTATGCTCCTCATTCATTCATTCCTCCTGTGGGAACTTCTTCTAAGGCACCTTCTCAGATTAACTCCATGCTAGGTAATGCGCAAGTCATTAAGGATCATATTGGAAAGTTTTTGTTCACCAACAATGTGAATGGGATTAGTGTCTTGGGCACCGAGGGGATCCTCAACTCTTTCCTAGAAGGCTAGGCTCATGTAAGGGTTTGTTCTCCCTCCCTTTCTCCCTTCCTTCCATAAGTTTCTAACATTCTTTTACCTCATGTTTCTTTTTAGGCCTCCACTGTAGCTATGTGTTTATTTTCAAGAACCCTTATTTATCACAAGCTAAAACATGATCACGAAATGGTGCAAAATGAGCTTCTTGTTGGTCAGAGGAAGATCACCGAGCTTGAAGCTACTGGCAAGGCTTCTGATGCTGACCTTGTGGCAACCCGCGAGAGGGTGACTAGTATTGAGATCGAGCTTTTGACGACCCATAGGAGGGTGTTCGGGCTCGAGGCTGAGCTTGTTGAGGTCTGTGAGAGGACCATGCTCAGTGAGGTTGAGCTTTCGACGACCCATGGGAGGGCGGCCAAGCTCGAGGCTGAACTTACGGAGGCCCGTGAGAGGGCCATGCTCAAAGAGGCTGCCGCAGAGGCAGAGGTGAAGGCAGCTCATGAGAGGGCTTCCCAGGATGAGGAGTGGGTTGTAATAGTTGAGAGGGACTTTGAGAGTGGCCTTGCAGACGCCTTTTATTGACGGTTATGAGGAGCTTCGGAGAAAGATTTTCACTACTTTTCCCGATATTAATGTCTTAGGCTTCTTGCCAACTGAGGCACCTGATGACAATGGTGGATATTCTGACGATGCTGAGGATGACGATGAGGAGGAGGATGACGACCATGAGTAGTTAGCGTGCTAGAGACTTTTTGGTTTTTTGTTTTATTTATTTATTTTTTATTTTTTGAAAAGGTAATTTGCAGCCATACTTTTATAAAAGTGATTTTTGTCACTAATGCTACTTTGAAGCTAAGAAGTTGAATATGAAAATGCAAAGATCTTTTTGAAGTAAATCTAGAAATTTTATTCATTTTTCTGCTCATATAAAGCAATATTGGGTAATAGCCCCACAAAAGAGTAAAAAATAAAATCAAGTCCCCAATTTTTCTACTCTCTCAAGGTGTCATTGATAGTACCTCTTCAAGTGCTCCAAGTTCCATGGATGGGGTAAGACCTTACCCTCAGAATTTTGGATCTTATAAGTGTCTGGCCTCACCACTTCTGTTATGAGGTATGGTCCTTTCCAATTTGATCTCAGCTTTCCTTCGCATGAATCTTTTGTGGCGAGTATCACTTTCTTAAGGACCCAGTCTCCTGGTTGAAAGGAACGAGGCTTTACCCTCGAGTTGTAGTATTTTACCATGCAACGCTTGTACTCCACATTACAGACCATAGCCATCTCCCTTGCCTCCTCTACCAAGTCAAGGTTAATGCGGAGTCCTTCCTCATTTGTGACGGGATCGTGGTGTTGGACCTTTAGAGAGTGCACCCTCGATTTCCACATGGATGACTGCCTCAGTTCCAAAAGCAAGGGAGAATGGAGTTTCTCTAGTTGGAGCTCTTGGTGTGGTGCGGTAGACCCATAAAACACCTGAGAGCTCGTCAACCCAAAGATTCTTCGCCTTTTCAAGCCTGATCTTTAGGTTGCGTAGCACCGTTCTCACCATAACTTCCGTTTGTCCGTTCACCTGCGGGTGCGCTGGGCTCGAATGAGGCTACTTTATTTGAAGGTCAGAGCAGAAGGAGTTCAGGAGCTTGTTGTCAAACTATTTAGCATTATCACTAATGATGGCGTGGGGTATCCCGAAGTGACAGACCAAGTTTTTTCAAATGAATCTTTTACTTTTGCATCTGTTATCTTTGCTAAGGGTTCTGCCTTCGCCTATTTAGTGAAGTAGTCCACCGCTACCATC